TAACAAAGAAAGGGGTGAGTGTAGGTATTTAGACAGAGTAGGATTTCCTCCATCTTTAGGAAGCTGCTTTTCCCATTGGAGCAGGAAGGATGCAGAAGGGGGACGGATGGATACATGGACCAATAGAACAGCACGAGAGGACCGGACCAGTTTACAAGGGCACATTTGAAATTGTATAAAAACAACTGAATGGAGGAGGACAGCATTCCTTCTCATCCTGAAGACAGGTTGAACGGTTTTGCTGTTGAGGTCAGGCCTTCAGATAGAGATGGAACCCAGAGCTCTGTAAATTGCTTTATTCGATGATCTGTTTAGTTATGATAATAAATGTTTGAAAATTGATATTTGATTCTGATTATCATCACACAACAAAAAAAACAAAAACAAAAACGGCCAAAGCCTACCCAGAACAGGAAATGTAAAGTTCCCAGAAAAACAGTCCAAACCAAAGAAACCCTTTAAAACATGAGAAGGGCACAAAAACCGATGCAACAGAACTATGCGCAATTACAGTTCACAGCGTTCAGAGAGGAGCACAGATCAAACAATGGTCCATAACCCTGAGGCCTTGATATGAACATGAAACGTCATTACTAGCAGGACAACATATAATAATCTCGTAACGAGAAGCAATGACCCTGGAGCGCTACGTGGCCATCTGCATGCCCCTGCAACATGCAGAGCTGTGCAACACATGTCGAACTATACATTGCATCCTCATCATTCACATCCTCAGCTCTGTGCCCTGCGTTGTTATTCTGTCCACCTTTTTTGCATTAGCACCCCTTAGCTTCTACAGTCAGTACAGGGTATGTTTAGGGGAGACTGTCATTTTTCACAGCTGGCAGAATCATCTTAGGTCAGCTATAAGTCAATTTTACTTCTTGATCATGTGCATCATCATTGCTTTCTCCTATGTTAAAATAATGAAAGTGGCCAGAGCTGCATCAGGAGAGAATAAAAACTCAACATGGAAAGGACTCAGGACAGTGGCTCTTCATGCAGTCCAGCTGCTGCTCTGTCTCATCCAGCTGTGGTGCCCTTTCATAGAAGCTGCTCTGCTTCAGAGTGATTTCATGTTATACCTTAATGTGAGGCTCTTTAACTATGTAGCATTTTATCTTGCTCCAAGGTGCCTGAGTCCTCTCATTTATGGCCTCAGAGATGAAAAGTTTTTTCTGGCCTTGAAACATAACAGCTCTTTTTGATTTCACTCTGTAAAGAACAATGTGCAGATTTCTTTTTTTTACCTGTTGCTATCATTTCTCATTACATATGAATATTTACTGATTTTCCTATTTTTGTAATAACACGTTAAAAACCTTTACACTTCATCATACACTAGATAACCACTGTGGAACATTGTTTTCCTTTCTAACCTGTCTGATCCAATATACTATCTTTTATTATGAATGTTATATTATAACATTGGGTACTTTCTGCAAAGTTCAGCAGCATTATATGTTGGCTTTTTACCAAGAAAATCATGTTTGTATAAACATTAAACTAAATACAGTATAACCCTGAGGTGTGCAATATAATTTTTGGATTTTTTGTTTGTTACATTAATTTATATACAGTAGGGGCCATAGTATTCACTCAAATGCAGTTTTCAAAATCCTAGGGTAATACATATTTTACTTGTTCGAAGTAAAAATATATAGAAGACAAAATCATGTGCAGTTTTAATTCTATAGGTAAAAATACAGCTTATATCAAATAAACATGATTTGACTAAAAAGATGAATCATTTTGTTGCTCTCTGTGTGCAGATTTGTCCTTTAGCAAGCAGGGGTGTCGAGCTGGGCTGGTGCACACAGACTGTGAGCTAGCAGGGCTGTGATACTGTGAGATATAAACTGGGTAATTTTACTGGCAGTCTTCTAGTGGCACATACAGTCAGTCAGTCACTGTTGTTGCTCTCCTCTGTGTTTATTTTAACCAGTCTGTGAGGCGCTGACACTGAACAATGACAATAACTACTAGCACAGAGGAGTGAGACACAGAGAAAAACATGAATTCCAATCTGACCTTTCTAACAGTGATCACATATTTAAATAGCAGACATGAATCATAACCAGGGCCACATATGGAAGTGGCCCAGATCTGATTTGAAAAACATCTGATTTGGTTTGTTCATGCTTACATGAAAAGATCAGATCTGAGTGACTTCAGCAGGTAATGTGAACATAGCTTTAGTCTGCATAAAGTTCCAGTCTAACTTACTAAAGCTTAGTTTCCTTAAAATCTAGAACCTGGGACACTGTATAAAGAAAACATTCGGTCAACATATTTTAAGTCATCTATACATAGATTCTTTTATTTGCTATTATGTGAACAGTGAAAAAACAATGCAACAAAAAGTTTTATAAAAGAGAAAATCTCTTTGTTACAACAAAACATGCAATATACAACACTGTGATGTGACATTGGATCAGTGATACAATATGTACCTGAGATTCAGTTAACATTTTCACACACAGGTCCTGAAGGCCCTGAAACAGGTGAATGCCCATAAGGCTGTGGGATCGGATGGTGTCCCCTCTAGAATTTTGAAAGCCTGCTAGGATCAACTTGCTAGCGTGTATACAAACATCTTCAACCTGTCTTTAACCCAAGATGTCAGACACATCCACCCTGAATGACTTTAGGCCAGTGGTGCTAACATCAGTCACCATGAAGTGCTTAGAGCAACTGGTCCTCACATACATTAACCACATGCTCCCGGACACTGTAGACCCCCTCCAGTTTGCCTAC